TTTATTTTGAGCCTTAATTACTTCCTCCAAGCCGCTATGCTTTCTTTACTTTTCTTTACAATGAGCATAAACTAGACAGCTCCTGTCTTTTTCCCAGTCTGTACCTCACGTTAGCTGAAGCCATTAATATCATTGTCTAGACTAGTCTCATACAAGCATAAGTTTAGTGCAGGTATCAGTGAGGCGTGTAAAAGTCGTTTCTTATTAAAACAGTCATGCAAATTCTGTCAAATGCTGGCACAGCAAATTCATGTTCTTTTGTCAAAATTATTACATTACACTATTAATATTCTCATTAAACATGTCCTTTTTTTTGTATTATGCCACAGATAGTAACAAAACAATCAAATGTTATGATATGACATTATTTATATAATATATTCTATTTTATATTAATTGCTTTGATAGTTTGTTGCAGAATTCCATTGAATTTTTTACTATATCCTAAAACCTGATATGGAGATCTAATGGCATGCACTGAAAAAAAAATAGAATTCAATGTATAAACCTGGTATCATAACATATTTTCTCATCTAATTCTGACCAAGGGCAGTATTATATTGCACAGCTTAGATGTGACTCAGCCTACAGTTAAAAAAGAAAAATTATAATTATTTTTTAACTGCACCTGTGTCATCCAAATGTAGGAAAGCTATATTGTAAGACCTTTTCTGAACGCATAAAGCGTAATGTTCATTTTGTATACTTGCATTCATGCTAGCCAGCTGGCACAGCTTTACTTTACCTTTGCTCAGCTGGCAAAGGCTATGTAACTTTCATACAAATAAATCCTTACAGTAAAGGTGAGGATGCATAATGGAAGCATAGGATCATATGCTTTCTCATTAGATTTCTGAATGACTTTCCTTATATGTCAAAGAGTTCAAGTAAAAGAAAAATAACTTACATAACTTCCCTTGAGAAACCAAATGGAAGACCAAGAATTTCTCACACCTTTACTATATCTTTGAAAGAAAATAACTGGTCTTGAGTTCAAGTAAGGCCCAGAGATAAGAGAACCCCCTCTGTCAAGACAGAGAACTAACTTGATGAAATTTCACTTGTATCAAAGTGAAGGCAGAAATTAGAAATAAAATGTGAAAATATCAAGCAAGCACTAAACATAAGAAATTATTAAGATCATAGAATTGATATAAGAAACTTAAGACAGCACACTAAAACCTTGGGTTCCAGGACTAAGATAAATAAGGTCTAGCTTTCAGGAGAAAAAGCCCCTACCAAAGAATAAAATCTTAACAGTTGCATAGGTGCATTAGTAAACAAACATGAGGGAAGACGTTCAACTGGTAATTCTAATTAAAATTCTAAAACAATCAGGGGCATTCTTTATATCATAAAAATGAAATCATTGTTGATCACGCCCCTGTGCCGGAGCTCACCCCTAGGTCGGGGGTGGCTCCGTGTGGTGGAAAAGTCTCTCCTCCAACCCGTGCTTTCAAAGAAAGAATCAGTAGTCTTCTGTTGTCTGGTCTCAAGGCAGTTTATTGCAAGCTATCTAAAAGATTGTCTTCTCAGGCTGCTGCGGTTTGCTCAGCAGCTCAGGCAGAGCCACACGCACCCCTGACACCCGCTCTGTCTGCTGTCTTCTCTCCCCACCCAGGGCTGGTGCTATCTTTTACATGGTACATTACGTGATACATGTTTACAGTTTTTCCCCAGTGCCTATTACCTATATTAAATGGTGCTTTTCTACTCTAAACCAATCTGTGAGTGCCAACATCACCAAGAACATGGAAGTAAGGAAGAAGAAAGAGGGAGGACAGGGCAGACCCAAATCCTTCCATCTTAAAACCTCTGACCCCCATCTACAAGACCTAAAAACCCCCTGTACAGTACTCAAAAATTCTTCCCTCTAATTTATGACTACTTTTACTATAATATCTAAACTTTTGTTGTTCTTCCTGCAAGGTTGGGAAATCATTCCATGGTTGAAATCCAAAATCATATCTGTTTCCAGCTGCCTGCCAGGGTCTCAAATGCTTCTGATCTGGACCAGGAACATCCAAAAATATCTGAGGGACATTTTGAGTTCCGATACCCCTGTACTACCCTTTTTGTACTTTTGCAGTCTGTATCCTTCTGTGAGCAACTAATAGGAAAAGTTATTTTGTTAAAAATATTACTTTTTTTCTGTGGTGGCGCCCTTTTAGTAAGTGGTTTAGTATAATATTTCAAGTCCACGACTACAACAGGTCTACAAAAGCATCAGTGAAGTAGCATAAAGCTGAAATCTGGGGATAAACAAGTGGAGGAGCAAAGACAAAGGAGAAGACACAATCCAAACTGCTATCATATGGAAAACCATATTTCTGATTCTCCCAGACTGTAGCCACATGATGCAGAGCTACCTCATCAAAGGAGCTGACTTGAGCTTCCTCATGCGCCTGAAGACTTCCTGAAATTCAAGCATGGAAATTATTCAGCTCACCATTTGTATTGGCACTGTTTCTATAAAGTCACAGAGAAGCATAACTGTAAGTGCAGAAGAGGCAAATAGTGTGTGACATAGCGTCCATCACTGGTGAGCTTTCCGCTTCAATCAACCAAACACAGGTGATATGCATAGGGTGAAGCGATGTCAATGAATGGTCCAGAGTGGAAAAGTTAATAATTCCGCAGTGAGGGCAAATAAGAACTTGGGGAAAAAAAGCTCTTAATCCTCTCTGTCTCTCTGTCAAAAACATGCTTTTCAGAATCTTGAGATTTTTGTTCCTTACTAGAAGCAGAACACAGCTCCATTCAGTCATTAACTATGAGGTAGTCACATAACTATGCCTAGAGTAATTGTGATCAGAGAGAACAAAAGTATCTAGATCTTCCAAAGTCTGGTTTGATAAACTATCCATACCCATACTAAAATTATAAGTTGATATAGAGAACTTGTATAAGCATTATTGATTTGTACAAGAGTTAATCAAAGCTTGTAATGCTCCTTCAGTAAAAGCTTTTTATGTAGTCTGTTCTGGGGCAGGTATTTTGTATCAAGAAAAAAATACCACTTAATCTTATTTTCTATTGATCTGAATGTATAGTACATCTTATTTATTTTGGGGAACAAAACTGATGAAACTGACAAAGGGAAAAAAAATTAAATGCCTAAAGCAAAAATAGAAAAGGGTTCAAAGAGGTAAACAGAGAAATGATGGTAATCTGCAAGTTGTAGGAGAAAAGTATTTTAGATTGGAAGATTTGGATTGAAGAATCTCGTTACTTAATATGTGTTTTATATAAGATTATATGGGGCCACTACTGTATCAAAAATGAAAAGGAAGCAGCTGAAAGCTACAGAATACTGCAAAAATACTTTGAAGATATTGATATAGATGGATTATATCAATATTTTACTAAATGTGTCTCTCATAGCATAGACAATATCTTTTTGAATTTCTTAACACAGCAAATTAAAGCCCAATTATAGCCCTCAGTAAGGTTTTTGAATCACTGTACTATGCCCAGATGCAGTAGTGATCTTAATATAAAATTTAACTAAGTTAACACACATTTATTAATTCAAAAGCATTAAAATTCTGTTAAATCACTTTCAAAATACAAAATTAAGATTTGCCTGGTTTTAGTCTGTGATTTTGGTCAGTGGATATTAATAACATATCTGAAATTCCCCAAAAATCTGTTTATTCTGTAGTTGAAATAAGAAATTCCAGTTTAAGGAAACTATGTATATGTGTTTTTAAATAGTCCCTGGAATGAAGAATGAGGAAGGAAATGCCAAACTATGTTTTTTTAATGAATACATTTGAACTGTTTCTCTTCACAAAACCTGCGATTTAGATTTTAATGTATCCCTGATATTTAGATGATCAAAGCTGTAGAACAGTACTGCTGTCAGAACAGCATAACATTAATAGAATACTTAGAAAAACAGTTTTTTCTAACAGTAGTTTAAAAAAATGCAGTATATTTTAATGATTTTGTATACTTTTTCTAAACCACTGGACTTCAAAATGAATTTTAGCTTTTTAATTTTTTTCCCCAAATTGTTTTAACGAAGATTAATTTTAGGGAGACTTTCCTACTATTAACAATGTCTCTTATAGATACAATTCTTTCCTTCCAGCACTATTCCCATTCAAACTCCTCTATGGAGCAGCAGGCTGCAATTTCTGCATCTGTGCTGTAATTCTACTGTAATTCTTGCACAGAAGCCTAGTCAATCAACCCTGTCCTCCCCATGCTAGCCAACTGTCCCTTTAATACATCCACAGAATTCAATATGAATTGAATGAATAGAATTGCAGTGCTAGGGAGACAGTCAGCTGCTACAGAGAGATGGGATTGATTGACATTAAAGCATCTGTGGAAGAGTTATAAAAGAATTACAGCAAAGACACTGCAATTGCACCCTCCACACCTCATAAGAGGGACGGGAAGCTACAAGAGATGCTACTAATAAATAAATCTGCCTTCCAACTAAAGCTGCATCAAAACCTTTTTTTTTTCCTTTTTGTATCCCCAACTTCAATTTGTGAGCAGCTTTTATTAACTATGTGAAAATTGGGTGTGACTTCAATTCTACAGTGGTTACAATTCTAGGACAGTATTAATTCAAAGTCAGATGGCATTTTTTTTAAGCCAGATTGTAGCTTTTCCAGATCATTCTTCCCTTTCCTCACTATTGATACAGTTGGAAGTATATGGGACTTACTCATATTGAATTGTAGGCATCTTTCAGTACCAGAACAGGAATACATATAATATCATTGCAAGGTAAACACAGTTGCTATTTTTCAGTTTGTCCTGGTTTAGGGCAAATCTGGGAGAAAACTTCAGAACTTTTTTTTCCTAGAAAGCAGATTCAAGCAGCCCCTCTATCAACTGGTTTGGGAATAAATTTCTTTGAAGAAAAGTGGAAGAAACCTGTTTATTTAATAGGTAAAGCATCCACTAGCACAAAGAAATTAACAACATTAAACAATAAAACCTCTCGGCACTCTAAAAGAGATGACAAACTCAGAAAGTACCCTTCATGGGCTGTAGCTCAGCTCATTCAACCTCTCATCAGTGCCCCTGGTGCTGGAAATGCCATGGTCCATGCCCTGCATGGTGGGCCACAGGTGCAAGCTCCCAGCATTCTTCTGGGTGTTCAGTCTGGAGTAGGTCTAAGCAGTTCTAAGATAAAAAAAAAACAACTACAGTCCAGGGAATTTCTCTGCCTCAGCTAGCTACTTGCTAAAAGCAAAGGAGAGCTCTGTCCCGCCATCTGTCTGCAGACAATACAGTCCAGGAGAAGGATGCGGGCAAGCAAATGTAGTTTCTGAAAACAAACTCTGTGCTTTTTCTCTCCTCTCTCTTCGCTCTCAGATCCAGTCATTAAGGTGAAAAATTTATTTCTGGGCTAAACAGACAAATGGGAATACAAGCATCACTAACTCACCCCAGGACACACCTGTAATAATTTATAATTCTGTGATACAGTATTACTTATTTAAATTGCCTGGTTCTGATTTTACTTTAATCAGAAGAGAAGGTGAATGTGTTGAATTTAACTAAAAACTTTAGTTAAATTTAACCGTCTTTATAATCAGTCTTGCTCCAGATTATGCAAACTTCATAATGAAGTTAAATTTAACAAAAACTGGTAGTCTTTCATTCTAGTTGCATCTAGGTTATTTAGAAGCACTGATATAAGAATTGTATTCAGATAACATATGTAGGTGTGTCTTGTTTGTTTTATTTTGAAGATTTTCATTGTTGTACCTAAAGATGAAATTCTTCTCAGTGTAATGCTGCTGGCAATAGATGGTGGTATTCAGACTGTAAGAACATATAGTTTTTTTAAAGTTCCTTATTTTTGTGTGTTTTCAGATGTATTTGCCTTTGTCTTGTTTTTCTGCTGCCAACCAATAAACAGCAGTTGTTTCATTATCAGTGAAACCTGAAATCATATAAAACAATTTCTTGAAGTAGTGGTTTCCTCACAAATACTTTTTGAAGGTCTTATAGATTGAGATGGATCAAATTTCTCCAGATTTACCTCTGAAGCTGTAAATTCTAGACGTATTTTCAATTAAAAAATGACTTTTTGAAAAAGAAATGGAAACATTTTATTCCACTGTGAAGTCTGATGCTGTTATCCATGTTAAACCATCTGGATAGAATGTTTAAGCTTTTTTTTTTTTTTTTTTGTAATATCTGTAATAATAAATCATTACAAAAAAACAATTATTCTGAGGTAACAGAATGTTTTGAATCATCTTGAATAAATCCACTTAGAGTTTTGCAGTGTTCCAAAACAAAAATAGGTACAGAAACTGCTTTTCTGAAGTCAGTTACCATAGAAAGGAAGTATAATAATAAAATCTTTCATGAGATCATACTTTATTGATTTAATCAGCTTAAAAATGTATGGATTTTTATGTGGCTACATTTCTATTTTATTTAACTGAAACAAATGTCTAAAAAATGTATGAATTATTAATGCTTAATTGTAACATTGTTTAGGGTTTTTTTCTTAAAGTAATGTCAATGAAACAAATCATCCATTTCAGGCACACAAATTGCATAAATCGAAGGCACAATAATTTATATGAATTATGTAGCTCACAAAATATTTTGTGCATGCTAAGGAAACCCTTACAGTGCTTAAAACCAGTTCTATGCTCTTCCAAATGCTAAGTGCAAAAGGAAGTGGACCAGAAGAAGAACAGTTAAAGGTAATTGGTTGGCTTGTCAAGAAAACAGCTTGTTAGAGTTGAAAAGACTAATCTTTCCTTGCTCTTTTGTCCAAAGAGAAGAGGAATAAGGAAGATCACAAAGTTGCTCCTATTTACAACAGGAAACCAAGGATGATTAAGAATGTATCCACGTCTTGAAGACCAAAGAGAGTGAAAGGCATCTTTTTCTATTGTTTGTTTATTTGGATATTTTTTGTTCAGTTAAAATGAAAACACTTAGTGCTGCAAGAGGTGTACTGATAACTTTTATCTTCCTTCTTGCCACAAAGGTAAGAGCTGCATTCTGTCCTTGACACACAGCAGACAAGGCACCGCCTGGTATTCCCAAATCTCATACTCTCTCGCTAGTAAAAAGAAAACCAAACTGAGAAGTGTATGAAAACTTCTTGCTTAGGGAAACTAAGTATAGGAACGGGCAGTCATGCAGCATATATTCTCATTTGCTATATTTGTTAAAGCACATCAGGATATTCAGACTGAACATCCATGCTGCCTGCAACAATCTTCTTGTAATGCTGGATCTGTAATTGTCTCTCTCTGCATCTCTTTCCTAGGATATCCTTCATCAGACAGTGAGCTAAAGTAAGATAAGCACAACTTAAAGAACAGTACAATAGTTTATTCGCTAATGTTCAAAGAACGAGTGACTGTAACTAATACCATCTAGACCAAGCATTTATTTTCTCACAAAGCAGAAAGTGACAACCAACTAATCTTTGTGACCAGGCAGTCATCTGCCAGATGGGGAAAGGTGAATTTTCATTGCTGCTAGTAAGACATTAATCATCATCAACATCATGTTCATTGAGGATCTTTTTAATCCTTTAATTTTTTTCAGATAAGTCATAAAATTGTAGAAGATCCTGAGTTAGAAGGGATCCACATGTATTTGTCTTATTTAATCCCTGAGCTGTTAATGACTGCTGTCTCAACAATAATATTATTGTCTTTTTTTACCATTCTCAGTATACTTCTTTCCTGGTTGGAGAGTATGGAGATGTATAGTGATATATGAACTTGTATCATGGGAATGCTGAAATATATTTAAGGCATTCTTTTCTATATAATGCAATTTTTTCAGTTACAGCCCTACTCCTTGGAGATCCTTGGAGATCTTTATTTAAAATATCTCTGGATACAGTCTTCAGCAATCTACTCTCATTGAAACTCTTTGAGCAGTAACTTGGACTACCTAACTTCCAGAGGTCCCATTAAATCTAAATTGATATATGATTCTATGACATTTTCCAGAAAGGAATGCCCTGGAATAAATGTCTGTTGAAGGAGAAAAAAAATAAAGTGCACAGGTATATGGAAGGGCAATGGGAAAAGTCCTATGAAAATTTTACTCATGGAGAAAGGAGTTTGCAAAGGAAACTCACAGAAACATGCAAAGGTTTGAGTTGGAAAAGGCCTTAAAGACTATCTAGTTCCACTCCTTTCACCATGGTCTTGGTCACCTTTTACTACACCAGGTTTCTCAAAGTCCCATCCAATCTGACCTTGAACATTTCCAAGGATAGGGCATCAAAAACTTCTCAGACAAACTTGTTCCAGGATCTCCCCACCCTCACAGGAAACAATTTCTTCCTGATGTCCAATTTTAGCCTAACCTCTTTAAGTTTAAAGCCTTTACTCCTTGTCCTATCAGCACATGCCCTTGTAAAAAGTCTCTTTCCAGCTTCTACAGCAAGTAGTATATGCGGAGGAGAAAAAAAGACATTAAAGGTTATTCTTTCAGATGAATTGCAGACATAATTTCTCCATGCAACCCCATGATTTTTGGAACTTCCTGGATGTATTCATCATTATTTAATTCTATGCTTTGCTTGTTCAGATTAATGATTCCTTCTTCAAACCTGGATGAGCCTTACATAGAGGGAAAGACCTCAGTTGAGAGAAATAATATACACCTAAACAGGTCCACAAAATCTTGAAATCTGGATGTCTGTGCTGCTGGAAACTATAAACCAGTTCAGTGTTTTCTTCCATGTTCTCCCTCTAAAGAAAGCTGTTAATGAATAATTTGTTTTAAATCAAGCCAAAAACATTTTCAGGAAGTTGCTCAATCCTGATCTTGATGATAAAAATAATGTCATTTGGAGTAGATCTCATTCTCACTTAGGCTAGAAAGTAACATTAGCCTTGTTCTTTATGAAACTTGATGTTATGATTTACTTGCTATTGCAGCCTTGGAAAACATTCAAAGGCAGAGCCAATATTTCTTTCAAAGGGAGTACCAGAAATCTTGTTCCCTGTATCAGTGTCATAATTTTATTTCTTTTTGCCTTTATTTATATTGTTTTAACTCATTCTCAGCCTAGAATACAGCTGTCTGTTTTTTCTTTATATGTTAACACTGTATCATGCAAATGGAAGATTTCCTGGCAAAAATCATGATATAAAGAAATATTCTATAGAAAGAAAATATTCCTAAATTGCCCTTGTCAGTGTAATATATTATGCCCTAAAATATGATGGGTGTTCCCAGTCACACAATTAAGCAACTTTTATTCCCAGTCCAGTAATATGACGGTGACTGAAGTAGAGGTTCTACATTTTTTGGTCTAGTCATCCTTCTGACATCATATTTCTTTTTCTTTACTTCTGAGGCTGACCAGTGCTACTGCATGATAGAGAACAACCGCCCAACATTAGCAGCAGCTGTTGAGATTTTCTGTGTATATATTAAATAGGAGCCTATCAGATGTGAAGTAGATAATGAACAGTATCATGACTGATGACTGTTACCCATACAGCAAAAAGGCTGGCTGGTGCAACACAGCCCAGCTTTAACTGTCCATAAAGTTGTCTCTAGCATAAACTTTAATAAGTTCATAAACAATGTAGAACATTATCAGAGATAATCAAGCAAGTGCTAAGTACGTCAATCTTGGATTTATATTTGTACAATTCTTCATCCAGCTGAAGTGGCTGAGAAACAAATCTCATTAGCCCAGGAACTCATCAGCACTGCATCAACAAATCTGCATTGGCTGTGGGAATCCGAGTTGGCATTGCTATTCACTGTTTTGCCACAGTACATCAACATATGAGCTCTGATTGCTTGCTTCAAGCTATACTGAAAATACAGACCTCATGAATTACTGAGACTCATCATGCACTAGGAAATCAACCAATCATAAAAGGAAAAAAATAGTTCAAAGAATTCTGCAAAAAATAAACCTTAACTGTTCCTCTGCCGGATTCCTTTGGACCTGCAGATGCATCTCACCAGGTCTCATGGACTTGTGGACATCCAAATTCTTGAAATGGTCTCAAACATGGTCTCCTATTGCTGGCAGTTTTTAATTCTCCCAGTCCCTGTTTTTTGTCTTTTATGGCTCAGGTGGCGTTGCTTGAGCACTTACTGGTGAAGACCAAAACAAGGAAGTCATTAAATACCTCAGCCTTCTCCATATCCTGGCTAACTAGGTCTCCTGTTTCCTTCTGTAGAGGAAGGAAATGTTTTCCCCGGCCTTCTCTTGCCATTAGTGCCCTTGGCCAGGTCTAATTTTTATCAGGACTTCAGCTTATTAACCTGATCTCTGGCTGCTTGGATAATCTCTTTATATTCCTCCCAGGTTAGTTGACTGAGTTTCCACCCTCTGTAGGCTTCTTTTTTGGGTTTCAGGTTGTTCAGGAATTACTTGCTTATCCACACAGACCTCCTGGTATTTTTGCCTAAGGTGATATATCAATATTAAGAAGCTTTCTTGAGCCACTCTTCTCTCCAAGGCTTTATCACACAGCACTCTACCAAGCAAAACCCTGAAGAAGCCAAAGTTTGTTTTCTAGAAGTCTAGAGTAGTGAGCTTGCTGTCTGCTCTTCCCACTTCACTGAGGATCTCCAAGTCCACCATTTCATTGTCACAGTAGCCAAGTCTGCCCTTCAACATTACATTCCCCACTTCAACAGCTCCTCCTTGCTGATGAGAAAAAGGTTCAGTGCAACATCTCCTTGCTGTCCTTGGAGAGGGACATTGCCACCAACACATTCCAGGAACTTGCTTATGCCTTTCTTTGTTTTGCCTCCAACACAGAAAAATTGATGTAATACTGGGGCAGTTGAAGGCCCCCACAGGGGCTTGTGAACATGAGGCTGCTCCTATTTGTCTGTAAGGGGCCTCAGAATTTCAGTCTTCTGTTGACTGGCCTGCCCTGGACCCCCACAATAATGTCCCCTGTCCTTGCTCTCCCTTTAATCCTGACCCATAAACTCTCAGGCTGCTGCTCATCCATCCCTAGGTGGAATTCCATGCACTCCAGCTGGTCATTGACAGGGAAGGCAACACCCCCTCTTTGTCTGTCCTCCCTAAAGAGCCTGTATCCTTGCATTCCACAGCAGCCATTCCACCACATCTCCATGACAATAAGATCATAGCCCTGCAGGTGAATGTATTTTTGTAACTCCTCTGGTTTATTCCCCGAGTATGTGTTAGAGGCATTTAAGTTGGGCCCAGGATAAAGCTGACTTCCTGGCTTCATTTGCAATTATTATTTTCAGGACGTATTTCTAAGCAGGTATTTATTTAATGAAGTTGTACAAAGAAAAACACCTTACCTGTCCCAGAAAAAACTCTAAGCAAATAAAAAAGCTAAAAAGTGATGTCTCTATACATCTAAGATCTAAGGTGACATGACAAAAGAAGCACTATTGAAGCAGCAAGAGAGATAAAGGGTAATAACGCAAATATTCTACATTTGAAATAAGGCATAGGAGGAATTTGGAAGAAACGCGTGTACAAGCCTCTCTCTAAAAATAATGCAGAGATGAAGGTAATGTTCGAGTACCCAAACCCATTTGAAAATATCAGAGGTCAGTTGTTCTCAGGCTTACATTAATGACATTAATTTGTGTTTGTATATCTTACCAGCATTTTGCCCTCCTGCTCTTACTTTTCGTGTTCTAATCTTCAAAATAGTCTGATATATTTTTAAAATTAGCAGTGAAGGATATTTTTTCTTCTTTTCCTCCACAAGTATAACTCTCCAGAGGGATACTGGCCTGAAGCCCAGGAGTAGTGCTGCAGGCTTAGACTAATAAATCATTTTTAATCAGATAGTTTGTATCACTGTAGTAGTGTTAATTTCATTTTAATATCTTTATGTCCAGAGAACTCACAGTAATATCTTTCAGCTTTTACAGCTTCATCTTCTGAATTCAAAAGATAAATATATAAAATAGAATCCCCCACATATGCAAATTTTGAGGTACTAATAGATTATTATTTGATTGAATTTTCATTTCTAGATTCAAAGTGAGAGAATCATGTTTTGCAAAACATAATTTCAAAGGAAAATTTAAAACTATACCAAAAAATTGTTTCTTTTGTATAGATGCAACTAAAAAATCTTAATTCCTCTCTGTTCATCATCCCATTAATATTATTGAGTTTGCTAATACTGAAAACATTAGTAGTAATTTGTATCTTCTCAGGTCTTTGTCCTTGTTTCGTTTGTGTGCATGAATAAGCTAAATATATTTGTTGAATTTTTTGTCCTCAAAATATGTATAATATGTTCCCTTCTACAATAAAATAAATTAACTAGACAGCAAAAGGGAATATGAAATCCCTGAAGAAAGTATATCCTAAAATAAATCAAAATATTTTAAGAATAAAGTAATGAATCCATTTCATTATTTCTTGCAATGAGAATAGCAATCTGAACATTAGGAAGTTCAGAATGTAATGCATCATGGAGTTCCATATAGAGAGCAGAAAAGCAATTCTAATAAATAGGCAGATCATATAAAAATGATTTGTATCAATATCTATCAGTCTGAACTCTGACAGTAGTGCACCCACTGTTTCCCCCAAAGTAGGCAATAATGAAAAAGTGTCTCTTCCATTTATGCATTAATTTCAGGACTGATTGCACCTAACCACATTGAATCTGTCCACATCCTTTTCAAGCATGGCAACTAATGATCACAATTCCTGTCATGTAGATCAGTGCTTCAACATCTGGTTGGAAATTGTCAACTCTGCATACTACAAATCTATGTTCTGTCAATATTACAAATTGATAAGCAGACAGGTGCCATTTCAGAACTTCTCTCATACTATTTTAAGCTGTGCTGAGCCATTTTGTCAAATAAAGCTCAAAAAAGTATTTCCCTGAGCTCAAAAAATGTTTCCCTGCATTTGCTTTTTAATACACAATATTGCTTGTGTCCATTTCCAGTTTTTTTACCCTGATTCAATTTATACTCTTCAGGATGATACAACTTTAAGGTATAATTTCCCAAAATACAACACTGAGAAAATATCATAACAATTTTCTATGCTAGCTTCTCAGTTAGGCAATAACTCATGCACAGAGGATGTCTAATGGATCTTATGCAGATCAAATTCAATAATTTTAAAGGTTGGAGAATTGAGAACAGTTCTTCTGATAAGGGTCCTGGTGCACCAAAGGGTGGGCCTGAGCTGGCAATGTGCATTTGCAGTCCAGAAAGTCAACCCTGCACCAGAAAAGCTGGCCAGCAAGTGTGTGGAGGTGATTCTTCCCCTTCATTCTTGGGAGACCTCATCTGGAATACTGAATCCAACTCTGGTGTCCTCAGCACAGGAATGATATCTACCTGTAGGAGTGAATTCAGAGGAGAGCCATGAACATGATTAGAGGGATGAAATATCTCTTCTATGAGAAAAGTCTGAGAGTTGGTGTTGTTCAGCCTGCAGAAGAGAAGGCTCTGGGGAAACCGCATTGTAGCCTTTGAGTACTTAAAAATCTTTTTGAGACAGATGTGGACAAGCATTTTCTCAGGGTCTGTTGCAATAGGACAAGATGCAATGGTTTTAAACACATAGAAGGTCAACTTAGATTTGATGTAAGGAAGGAGTATTTTACAATGAGGGTAGTGTGACCCTGGAGCAGGTTGCCCAGAGAGGTGGTGTATATCTCATCACTGGAAATATTACTGGTCAGATTGGATAGGAGTCTTAGCAACCTCTTGTAGTTTAAGATGTCCCTGCTTATTGCAAAGGAAGTTTGAACTAGATGACCAGTAAAAATGTCTTCAAACTCAAACTGTTCCATGATTCTATGATTCTATGATTCTACGATTTTCATATTTATGTCTCTTGCCATCTTCTTTAATGGCTTCTTAATTCTAAAAAATAATAAAGAAATTAGAGGGGGGGGAAGAAAAAAGTATACATCAGGAATAAATTATTGTGAGATAAAAATTAAATTTACAACATAAGCTTCACTTTAATTATTATGCAGAACATAAAAGATACAATGAAATAAAATTCAATATGATCAATAAATTGCATAGTGTTAATCATGTTAAATAAGGGACATTGTAGACAATCTAGAAAAGGTCAGTAATGATTTAACTACTACTGCAAAAATCTACTTGACAACAGAATGGTAGCTTTTCTGAAGGAATAGACATTTTAAAAGTTAGAGAAGAAGAATGAATGCTGTCAGATTAGGCAAAAAGAGTACTTACAAGCTAGGAATGACAAAGAGATAATCATGCTGACATCAAAACTTCTGCATAAAATAACATCTACTGTTAAAAAGTGTGAAGAGTTTTGTTTGTAATGAATATTTTGACAGATATGTCATACAGGTTTCACCTCTCTTTCAAATTTCCATTCTATTAACACAAAAGAACAAATGTACAAAAACATTTTTGGTAGTGTAGTAAATGCACATATATGTGCATACATATTTTAAGATATATATGTGCTCTGACAGTTAAGGAGTATGTGGTCTGACCTTTTGAGTATTTTCTGATTTGTTTGCTTTGTTAATCTCCTACCTCTGGTTTTAAGATAAACACCACAGGAAACTTCCATTGGATTTTTATTTTCAAAAGATTTGAGATATTCTGTAGCTACTTAAAAGATGTTGACCTAAGTCTCATACCAACAGTGTGAACAAGTGCCCTTTTCAGGTCACAGATTTTTTTATGCAAAGAGAGATCTATAAATATTTTTAATGTTTTGGGGTTTTTTTCAGGTGGAAAAATGTGTTCCCATTTCTATAGATATTAATTTATTATGTGACTTTTTCTCACTATACCATTAGTAATTTCAAAAACTGTAGAATGAACACAACACTAATCCATTTATCCATATCTATATGTGTTTGTGTTTGTGTACTTACATTTATGTAGTCCCCCTGTCTGCCCATGTAAACTCCGTGGTGGGTAAATCCCTGCCAGACACTATGCCTGGCTCTTGCTCCCTCCCATCTTCCACAGGATGGGATCAAAACAGAAGGAAGGCAAGAAGGCTTATGGATCAAGATAACAACAGTTCAATAAATTAAGCAAATGCCACATAAGGGACCAAAGCAGAAAAAAAATTCTGTTAGTTCTTCCCATTATTAGGCAGAAGTCTTTCTACTTCCTGGGAGGGAGAGCCCTTAGTATGCATAACAGTTGCTTGGTAAAATAAAGACCACAGTCTCAAACTTCCCTCTTTCTACTATTTTTTCCCTGAGCTTCTTACTGCTGAGCATGACAGCTTGCAGTATGGAATATCCATATGGTCAGTCTGGTTAAGTTGTCTCAACTATGTTCACCCACAAATTCTTGTCCACCCCAAGCTTATTCGGAAAGAACATGATGTGGTGAAAGAAAGCCTTGGTGCTGCATTGCATATCTCTATTGCTGTAATAGATATATGATTACTGTGTTATCAACACTCTTTTAGCCACAAATGCAAATCACAGCATTGTATAGGTTGCTATGAAGAAAGTTAACTTCATTTCACTCAGACTCAGTTCAAAATCTCATTTCCTATTTGCAGATGTGAGGAAAGAGGTAAATTTTATACTTCCTCCATCTTTCTAATTTTTACTATGTTGTACAAAGAGAAAATTATGAGACTACGTCGAGGGAACCTAAAGAGAGAAGTGCAACAAGAAAAAGTTGACAGCTCTACTAAGTTTTGTTTTTTTAAGTAGATAGGTTATGGAAGCCAGAAATAAACCAGAGATCACAGAAGGAGGAAAGCATTCAATTATATTGGGTCAGGGCATTGGGACAACCTAATCAGGTCTTACTGTCTTAATGAACCTGATTTCTACATAACTAGAAGATAGTAACAATAGAACTAAAACTATGGAGATATATATACATATACACAGACACACATATACATATATATAAACTTCTAAATTTATACTATTAATATAATTTATTATATTAGATATATAATAGGTATATACATATAGGTTTAGATATAGAGAACACATCAGTCTTTAACAATATGACAGTCTTGCTGTGAATGTTGAAAAACAGGTGGACATTGCCCATTCACATTAAAAGGATGCACAGATGAGTTTTCAGTAAATCTTCACTATGAATTTGGTTGTTCTTTTTTGTTTGTTTGTTTTCCATTATCTGAACCAATGAGTTATGTAGCTGGTGAAAAATATTTCCATATCATTGAAATTTAGTGTACTTGTCTGTGACTCTGGAAAGACTTCAGAACAGCTGGAGCAATTGACATTGTGACAACTACCTAAGAATTATCACTATATAGTAGAGCATAAAATTTTAAAACCACTTCTAGAATCAGATGGATTTACACCTGCAAAACCTCAGAGCTGCAACAACAGAACAGATAGGCTCGCACACTTTAATGCCAAAGCAGGTGAGACAGGACAAAAACTACATTTTCCAAACAAATCAGGGATTCATTATGTCCTGTCAAGTACATCCTATTATACAAGAAAAGGATGGCAGTTCTGTCCCTTACTGCCAAGCCCCACAGCTTAGTGGAGAGTGAGTACCTAAAAATCTTCAACATCAAAAGGATTTTGAGCATACAGAGAAATTATTAAAAGAGTCTTCATTAAGACTACATTACAGCACAGGTTTATACTTTCCTCTGTGGCAAAATGGAATCTCTCTCAAATCCCAGCTACAGATTTATGGTTCAGCTGAGTTTCTATGACAATTTTAGGGGAAAAATTAATAAATTAGTCAAGCCAGTCAACAAGTCCTTCTTTTAACAAACAAGTTATTATTCAAAATCTAAATCAAGTGGATTTTATCTCAGTTTAGACTACTTGTAACAATAAATATATTTCAAGAAAATAAATAAAACATCCAGACTGAACACAAATCCTTCAGAAACAAAAGAATAAACAATATCAGAATGTCAAGAATGTAAGAATGTCAATGGAAAGTTATTTGATGCTTAACCATATTTGCAGAATGTTTCTGTGATTAGGTTTAGCAATTTAGAACATATTTCCTTAAATAATGAACACTTAATCACAGAAAAAAAAAGTAATAAATTTGAAGAGAAAAAAAAGAAGATAGGATTTTGTAAATAGGAGTAAATTATTCTACTCGTGATTCTTCATTTCCTCTAACACTCAAATATCAAAACCTAAAACAGAGCAAATAGCTCACCTCTTTCCTTTGAAAGTAATTAAAGATAAAATGTGCTCTACAGCTGTCACACAAATGAAAGAATGGAAACACAATTTCCAATAACAGAAAGAAATAACTTTTTCTATTATTTGAATTATGTCAAACATACCTAGTACTTTCTTCTAATATGGAAAAGTCAACATCAGTAGCAAACTTATTTTCATAAGTTTAAATAGAGTGACTAATATACAGTCCCTGTATTTTAAATACATTGTCTTTAAATACAGTGTCTTAAAATATAGTTTCTAAAAGCTACATAGAAACTTAGCTATAGTGAGACTTGGAAAGCCTCTGGAAATTTTTTGTGTGTGTCCTACAGTCCCCAGTGCCCTTATTTTTGTCATGGGAATGGAGTATAAAATCAGTTTATTCATGTTCACACATAATTCAGTGTCTGAGCCTTCTAGTGCTGAGAAGAGGAGATAAAATTTCTAAAATTTATATATGCACAGCAAGAAGCAGAGCTTGAGAAGAAAAGAACAAAGGTTGTGTAATTGTGCAGGAATTCTGGCATCTTTGGTTACAACGAACAAGAGATCTCTTCCTTCACTTACAAAGATGTTGCAGGTGGTGAAACTATTTTCTTTGCAGAGATGTGAGCCACCCACCTAAAAACCAAACTTCTTGAATTCATGAACCAGAGAATTCATAACATTAACTTTTAGGTTCATCAACATTACAGATAAAAGAATGTCTCTAATGTAGCACTGAGGGATACTTTGCTAAGTCAAACCCAATTGTTTGGGTTGCAGTCACAGGATAGTGGTTGAAATACAACAAAAAAAAAAAAATCAAGAACTTTCCCCCAAAATTTTTTATTTTTCAGAGGGTGTGAGTTATGAATTACAGTTACTACTGAACTGAAAATATTCTGTATAGGCCTTAGTTAGAAATGGAATAATTAATTCAGTAAAAATGTAACTCAAGTCTTACTTACTGTACTACATTTTAACACTGCCATATATTCAAATAAGTTATTAAATACACCATGAAGTGCAAATCCACGGTAGACCTGCTAGTAAGGAAGACAAGGAAAAATCTCAGGAAAAATTTGGAAAGAAAGATTGCATGAAGGGAAATGCAACAAATAAAACAGAACAGAGAAACTAAATCGATTAATATTGTTGAACAAAAGACAAATGTTTGCTGCAAATCTGTAGCTAAACTACTAGTATAATGTAGAACATGATATTATAGTATAGACATCTTTATGAACCTTTTAAGAAACATGTAATGTTTTTTGTTCTTACTGATTCAGGAGCAGTGACAAAGACTTTCCTTTGACTGATTGCTCCAGAAAAGAACAGAAGATATCTTGCGTCCTTCAGACCTACCATAACATTTTGAATTTATTTCAAAACATGATTTGTGCCTGCTAAATTTGGTAGGCAAAATTGTGAATGGCTCAGTAAAAAAAAAAAAAAAAAAATCTCCCTTTTTATCCCTGCTTTCATACTGTCATTCAGTTTGGATGGCTACAAGGATAGTTATGATATACATAGCATGTTCAGAATGGGGACAATAACCCAAACTTAGCACCACTCCATGATACTCTGCCCTTGTAGTACAAAAGCCTCAGAGAACTTTCAACATGACATTTTAGTCAGAAAGATGTGAGGCAGTTGGAACTGGGAAAGTTGGAAACACTGGAAATCTGAAACTAAATACTCAAATAACAGAAAACTTCACAAGTTGTTCTAACAGAGGAAAATTAGAAAGAATCATAGAAAATGGAGAAGAAAATCTAGAAATTATGTAGGGGAAAAGACTGTAGGATTGCTGGGCATTCAAGGAGAATGCATTTTGTATCAAAAAGTTTTGAACATTTTCTTTTACTAAACAGGTAATCTTCTACTCCTTTGTCTCTCTCTCTCTCTCTCTCTATGTGTATATATATATATATATATATATATATATGTATATGTATATATATATATATATATATATATATATGTATATAAAGGGTCAATAACAATGACGCTTTATGTATTCTCTGCTTTTTCCTAATTGAAATTTATATAGAATACCAAGTCAACAGTGATACTGAAGAGACTTTTATTCATAACTATGTTCAACATTTTATGTAAAATGATTACACAGCGCTATAGGATGAAAAAAGCCTTACCTTGTCAACTTACAGCACATATAGCACAGGAAGAGCATTGACCTGTTGGAGCCAGTCTAGAGGAGGGACACCAGGATGATTAGAGGAATGGAAGTGCCTCTCCTGTGAGGAAAGACTGAGAGTTTTGGGTTTGTTCAGACAAGAAAAGGCATCAGGGTGACCTAATTGTGGCCTTCCACTACCTAATGAGGATTTACAAAAAAATGGAGAAGGACATTTTACAAGGGCATGTATTAACAGGATGTAGGGGAAAGGCTTCAAACTGAAATAGAGTAGGTTTAGATTATGCATTAAGGGAAAATTCCTTACTGTGCAGGTGGTGAAGCGCTGGAACAAGTTGCCCAGAGAAGTTGTGGTTGCCCTATCTCTAAGAAGGTTCATGGACAGGTTGGGCAGAGCTTGGAGCAACCTGTCTAATGGAAAGTACCCGTGTCCATGATAAGGCTGGAAGTAAGTGATATTTAAGGTCTCTTCCAACCCAAACCATTCTGTGATTCTATGACTCCATGAACACATGGTTACCTTCCCAAAAACCTATGCCCTTTTAAATATTCTTTTCCAAAGGAATTCAAGATTCTTTATGTTATATTATATATATATATGTATACTCATATTTATAAAATGGCCCCTTGCAGCCTTTTTAGTAATTATTTATAAAACTCAGTCCTTAAAATACGTTTCTTTGAAGAAAAGAGTGAAGCCTCACATGCAGCAAATCTCAGTGTATCTTAACTGATCTTTTTGCAGGAGTTCCATTCCTTCATAATTTGATGACTCAACAGATTCTCCACACTAAAATAGACACAAGGTCATAGTCTGTAATTTCTGACCTCCTGTAAAATATCATAATTTTACAGTTTCTTATGGATATCTAGAAGTGCTTGAATATCACTGTATGATATTTCTTTCTCTCCTGCTAAGCAATATCTTAGTAATTTCAACATACCTTGGATGTCATATGTGAATACTAATGCACATTTTCTTCTGCAGGAAAGGTACATAAACATTGTATGTATATATATGCATGACTCTTTCAATTTCTCTTTTTAAAGGTCTTTTCCTAAATCTAGTTGAATGCTAGATAATTTGGGGATTTTCTAGACAATTTTTGGGTTTTTTCTGCATCAGTACACATAGCATGAAATCATCATATTTTCTGAATGTAGAACATTTTCTCATCCTCTGCTCTTCCCCATCTGCAAGCATGACCTAATATTCCCCAAAAATATAAAAACTTTGTCAAATTCACATGATATTTTATTGGCAAATATATTCAAAGAAAGGAAATTAAAAATCAGACATATGGATGATGTATTTGAAAACTTAGGGCCTTTCCCCTTCTATAAAATATTATCTGGCTGCCATCTATAAGTATATTTAATATGAATGATGAAAAATGAAATAGAAATTGTATACTTCAATTCTTTAATTTTCACAATGATTGTGGAAATGTTCCAGCAGCTGTCACCTTACTGAAGTATGATCTTTTCTAAATACATAAAGATAACAGAAACTGTGCGCACACCTTGGCAGCACAGAAAGACGTAGGAGATAGTAGCCTACATGGTTTCCCTCTCAAGTTCTAAGATGTAGGGTGTTGTTTATCTATAAATATTTTCTCTATCACTAATGTAACTTCTCATATATGAAAAGGCTAGAATTCTGCTCATATCATATTTTCTCCAAATTAACATTACTTCTTTGTGTAGTTTACCTTTTGTGTTGTGAAGTCAATTTAGCACGACTGAGATATTTTTTCAATTATATTTGACCTCGAAGATAAAAGTCATTAAGTGATGTAACATAAAAGACATTAACTATTCTATATCCCAATTTACATAAGCATAAATTGTTGTAGAGTAGATATAGTACATAGAATGTCAGGTGTCTGTGAGAACATAATGGCTATAATTCCAGAAATTTCCGTTTTTGAAGCGAGGCATTTGCATGGAGCTGTCTACAGATTTCCTAAAACTTGGAAAAGAGAACAATTATTGAGGAATTAAGGGGAAAATAAATTAAATGAAAACATACTTTATAAAATATTTTAGATATAGAAGTTAAAATTTATGTTAGCAGAAATGACAGAGAAGCAGCATGCACTCACATAATACTCAAACCTCTCATTCAGGTTGCTACTAAGCAGCATATATCATGTGGGTTTCCTGAATGACTCCTGAGATTATACCAAATCAGGAGTAAATTATTCATTGGCATGCATTTTGGAGATTGGTCTCACGTGACTTACAAGCAATAGTTCTGATTAAAGAATAATAAGGAGAAATGAAAGGAAGAGTCTTCATAGACATGACTCTCAGACTCTTTTTTGGTGCTCACTCAGAAGCATTTTTATAACTAAATTGCCCAACAATACTAAGCATGCAATGAAGCAAAACTGCATCATATACCCTTAATTCCACTTTGTACAGGTAGTTATATTACCTTGACTAGAATTCATTTTAGCCTGCAGCCAGCTTACTGGTGTAACTAAGGTATATTATATTTTCAAAAGATAAAGCTATATTTCAAAGGAATAGAGTAGTTAGAAGATGTGTAAAACTTATGGTCTTACAGCAACAAAAATATTGCAATCTAAAAGCTATTGTTAGAATAACAGTAACACTAAATACCAACAAGGAAACCAATGGAAATTTTTTATTAGATATTCCTTTTTCTGTATTAAAACAATATGTAACTTAATGTCTGGCTTTTTCATGCTTTTTTTTGCCTTTTTTTATTGACAGTTTGGTTTGTCCTATATTGGTTGCTAACAACACTCAACTATATATAAAAATGAAGAAATCATGACTTATGAATGAAGAGAAGTTAAACTTTGGTACAACAAAGAAAATCTTTACACAATGCTTACTTACCCAAGCTGAAGTTTGACTAAATCCAGCAGAAAGCCAGGCAAATATGTTCCTAAAACTTTAATATATGCCAAAAGGAAATTGAGTATGCCATTCTCCCCATCTTCTAGACACCTGCCTCTACTTATTTTGTAATAAAATGTGAAATTGCTTACTTATGAATCCACAACAATAAGAGAAATGAAAAGTAAAGATCTTTTCACCTTTGACAGAAGCTTTTTGTTCAAGGGAAACAAAAGCAAAAGAATAATTTGATACGTATTGCTTATTTTAGATAGATATACTCCATACAGTTTGAAATCTGAAGTTACTTATAAGATTTCTTTGAGTAACATATACATAGGGGTTTACTAATAACACTGTTAACAGAAAATTACGTGTAAGTTCAAATGGAATACTAACACTGTGAAATGCTGTTCTCATAATCACTATACCAGTTAATCACTGTTACCAGTAACAAATGAACAAATAAACAAATTAGCCATTTGAGTAATTTGATCTGTTTAGAAGTATTTGATATCTTAATGCTACTGACTTAGAAAGCTGCAATGGAGCAATGTTCTCAAAAACATGATAAGGAAAATCTGGAGCAAAGTAAGTTAAGCTATTTTAAATTACCAGACTTCTGAACATTTAAAATTAACTTTGTGAAGACTTTGAAAACATGGGGTTTAGAATTAGACTTGAACGAAAAAAGCTGAGCTCTTCTCAGAAACTTCAGAGAAAATCAGTGTATTGGAGATGCTAAACTATGCTTGCCAAAGTATTCCTTGAAACATTTTAAAAAACACCCCGCCCCCCACAGATAAACTAAACCAATTGAAAAAACAAATTTTTAAAATTATGAAAGATTCTATTTTTGATTGGTACAATCAATTTCAAATACATGAGAGGGAATTAATTACGAAACTAGAAGTCAGTAATTATTCTGTCAAGATGAATCTTGAACAAGTCATATTTTGAGGTGCAAACATGTTCTAAAGTTGTTATAAATTTTATGTGACAACTTGTATATAGACATTACCATGGACATTGATTTGCATGGATACACTGATATGACACTGTGCATATGTGCACGAACAACATCTTAAGAGAAAAAAACCCCACAAAAAATTAGTAAGTGGAATGTAATTAATCAGGAGAATTTGGGTATAAAAATAAGATCCTTTCTGTAATTTTTTTCAATAGCATACATCTGCATCTCACCCCATCAAAAAAGAAGACATTTAAGAAATAAAATGTAACAGTGGAATTCACAGTACTTGGTTTAGGATAAAAACTAGTGCAGTCACAGAAGTGCATACAGATTTTTACTTCCCTATGTATAATTCCTAAGAATTTCTGGAGACCTCTTAAAAATAAAAATTCTAGACCATTTTTAGGCTGTATGGTCTTAGAAACTGTGAAAGATTTTTTAAAAAGTAGAAACTAATACTATAATGCTCTGCTATTTCTCTGTTAACACTTTTTTGGGTCTAACAGTGAGATTCAAATAATTCTGCCCAGGAATTTACTAATCTATTCCACTCAAATTATTGAAGGACTGATATCAAAAATCCATACTGATTTGCATTGACTGTAGATATAAAGAACACATGTAGATTAATATAATTAGATTAATATAAATACTAAAACCTACTATTTCTGTATTGTAAACTCTGCTTGTCCTACTATGAGCTGTATTGGTTTTAAGAGATTTCTGGTACTGTTCATTAAGATGAAAAGATAATATACTTTAGTTCTCTAGTAAGTTTCATATGACATTTTGAGTAAGAGGCTAAAATGATACAGAATCAACATATTGCATGTTTTCAAAAGCTGGATTTATTGAGAGAACCTATGAAGGATTGTAACAAATTCTGTTACAGTGGCTTTTTAAAGTCAAGAATGTATCAAAAAAATGTATGCTGTATTTTAATATGCCCCATTTCAGTCACATTTACTTAGACATGATGTACCACTTAATTCACTGAAGTCCTATGGCCTGTATAGTGTCACATATGAGACTTGATTACACTGTTTCTTCTGGTTTTATGACATATGAATCCATTAATATCCACAGAATTAAGCAGTTTTATGTCTGGTAGTTAAAGACGCGTGACTGCATTAAAGGAGGCTAAAAAGTTGCCATATTTCAATGTAAAATTCTTTCTAATGAACTCTTTACATAAGTAAAGATGATAAATAGAGTCTTTAGAAAGATGAAACCTTCAGCATACCTTCCCAAGCTACTTAGCTGGAGAACTGACTAATTTGGAAGCTTAATGGCACCAGTTGATGCCAATGGCAATCTACCTCTATTGGGGAAGAATCCACATACATTAAAAAATTGGCATGATAATACATTGATAATCCAAGTGTTAGCATGATTAACTATTTTACTTGCTTGATTTAAATTTTCATTGCATATTTACCTCTTCATTAAATCTTTCTTTTCTCTCAAATCACCTTATTATTAAATACTTATTCAAGTAAATGATTACAAATTTACTGTATTTTAATTTTTTTTAGTACCCTCATGGATTATATGTCAGAAACACCAGAAATGCACAAAACCATAAAAATAAGTGAAAAATTTAGTCTAAATTTTTTGTAGTAATTCTTCAACTACTATTTCCACTGCAATTGTATGTAGTGAAACCTTCAGAAACTAAAATATATTTCATTTACCCAACCTGTTATCTTTTTTATTTTACCTCCAAATGTTTAAATATTTTCAGTGGAAACATTTTGTAACCATCTGGCTCACAGGTGACTACAAATTTCAGTTAAATAAACATTATTATATTCTTGCTGTTCAAAGTTCAGTCAAGCTCCAGAATTAATATACTTCTTTAGTGAAATAACACAGCAAATAATCAATCTACATTGATTTGATATGGTAACAGTAGGGTGAAAAAGAGTATTAGTCATTCTACTATTTTTTCTATTTTCCCACTTTCTTATCTCTCACATTCTCTCATCATTTTTTTCTATTAAAAAAAAATACATTGCCAACAACCAACCAAAAAACCCAAATACAAGGGAAAAAATGACCCTAAATATAAAATATAAAAGACACAGAAAAGATCATCTATTATTTATTTTTTTTCATCTATGTCATAAATCACTGTCTTTTAAATCCTTGTATTTATCTATTATTTTTCAGAGCAATGACCTGTATTAATGCTTGTGAAACATTTAATAATAACAAACAAAAAAAGAAATAAAATAATTTGTAGCTTTTAATGAATTATTGGGAAAACTTAACTCACCAGATCATCAATTTGTACATCTCCATTTAGTTGATTATGTGTGACTGCACACGTGTTCTTCTATTGCATTGAGTGGAGGCCTGGTTGAATCTTTGTCTGGAGACTTTTTTAGACTAGTCAGAAAACACACTTTAATACTTGAGTGGCTCGATGTTTGCTCAGCTCTTGATTCCACTCTCTGAGTTGATTAAGTCTCCAACAACCATAATGGAAACTTAGGGACCTCCCTCCTGTATTTTCACCTAAAGTGGAAATCTAAAGTTAGGAAAGATGAATCCCACCAAAAAGAGTTTTAAAAAGAAATAATTTTCTTTTATGTTGCCTAAATATTTTCAGTAATAACTATCTTGTGCTGAAAGTGAATTTTACAAGTAATGTTCTTTAATATTTCCTTTTTTTATGGAATAATAAGCTAGGAACATTCATTTACATTACTTCAAATATTAAGCTTCAATTTCAAATACTGTACCAAGGCTATTATCTGAGTACTATATTATTATATCAGTTTTTTCACTGCGCCCTAGTCCAGCTGGAGAATTCTCACCTGAGACTGCTCTTCTAAAAGCTCGTCCTACACATGGCAGAGTGTCCAGCCAAACCCTTCTTCCGGTTTTTCTGTGATTTTCATGCATTTTTAAGCTTAAACCAGTTTAAATTACATGGTATAATTTAGATGCAAAGGCTTTCATTCCTGAAGAATATTTCTTTTTCTAAAAGTATCCCACTTAAACCAGCGTTTTATTATATTGTTCCACTGATATCAATGATTTCTTTCTTGTGTATATTACAGGGATGAAAAGTCTAAGCACTCTAACTACACTATTTTTACACAGCAGTGTTGAGTCAAAAGTAAAAATAAATAAACAAACAAAAAAGACAAATCTCTATATAACTACATATGTAAGAGAAGGGGAGGCAGAGAAAACTAGTTTTCTAGAGTTTACATGTCTTTATCAATAGAAAATTAATTTAATCCAAACCTCCAGAGTGGACAAGGAAATTAAAGTTGAGTAAAACAGAATGCAAATATTGTCAGATTACATGCATTCTTTCCCTTTTAATAAACACTGAGTGGCCTGTTCCCTTTCTCAAAGAAAAAAAAATTTTAAAAAGGCACTGCCTTTTTTCCAGGGTCTCTCAGTTCATACAGAGACTTTCTGTAGAATAGGTGGCTCCTGTGATTTCCCATGCTCATTTGCTGTTATAAATTTGTCTTTTTCAGGTTCCCTTATTCAAATGGCATTGTTCTTTTTACCTTTGCTGATACTTAAGACAAGACACTTCACTATCTTGTGCTCCAAAGTCCTAATCTACAAAAATCAGTTTTATTCCCCAATAAATACATGAATATACATGCATCTACATGAAATACTAGTATTCTTTTATAAACTTGACTTAAATTACACATCCTTGGCAAAATAAAACATCTCTGAATGTAAATTGCTAGATAAGTGTTAGATGTTATCACCACAGTTATTGTTCATGTATTCTTTAAAATTTGGTTGTTTTTTTTTTTCAGGAATATCATTAGGTATCAAATAATGCAGCTATTTTTCTCACTCAAAAGTAAAGACTTCCCTCACCTCTGGTGGTTCAAGACTGCAATATCAGTTTAACCAAGACACCTCAAAATTTCAACAATCAGATCTCATTTCTGCATCGATTGGAGGTGATTTTATACCTTTATAATCTTATAATTTCTTTCATTTTTTTCCTTTTCTTTTATGCATTTTCTCAAATTAATTTTATGCTTTTTATTATTGCTTGTCTAAGTAAAATGGCTGCATTTTAAAATTTGCCAGGTTCTTTGTTTTACCTTTAATGTTCTAAAGTTTGGAAGTAAAAGTTTGATACTGAACCGCCCGATAATTTTGTTCTTTTTCCTTTGCACCCCTCAGAGTAAATCAAGTAGCCTTCCTCTTAACCCACCACCTGAACTGGACCACAACAGCTGCAGACAAAAAACCAACCAAACAAACTAGTACCTCACCAAACCAAAAAAAAAAATCAACCAAGCCACTCAGACAAATTCCTTTTGTTTTTGATAGGAATTGAGTGGGCTACTATGAACAGTAGTCAACACTACAATCTACAAGAGAACGCTCAAGTCTGGTGAAAAATCTATAATTAAAAGGATGGACTCAGTATTGTCACATCCGATGATAAAAGTTTCTACTTCAAAGCATTCAAGTGGTTTTTTGCAGGCCTAAAATTCCTTTAGCCATAAGAAGGTCTCTCATGTAATCTTTAGGGATACCAGATTTAGAAAGAATGAATTCTGACAACTGAATATCAATCTGAAAGGGAATTCCAAATTAATATAAATCAAATAACTCAAAATCAAAGGTTAAATCAAATGAAATTATGGCATTCTTTCAACCCTCCTCTTGGTTCTAGAAGAAGGTCCTGGCTGTTCTAGATTATACTGAAGACAGCAATAGATGACAAATTAAAGTCCACTTCTTATGAATCTCTGACTACAATTTTGAAAAAAAAAAATTCAAGAAAATAACAAGGTTATTTCCTAGATTTAAAATATTATTTTGAATTTTTGCATTATTTTGATGATGTTTATCCTTGAAGGGCTAATATACAATTCTGAAATTGATAGGCAAGACGGTATTATGTTTACCTCAAGGTTAAATTTTTGTAATTAAAATTTGTTATTTTCAATTTCATTTGATGTCAATATGTAAAAAATCCTTTGCACACTCACTAGTTTCAGCAAGCTGATGTCATTAAAATAATCCAAGTTTTTGTAGCTTCACTGATTGCCAGGGTGCCACTACAGTTGTTTATCATTCTTCCACAAAATTTTCCATTATTAGATGTGTTTTTGAGTTTCCTAGAGCTTTTCCCACCTTCCTCTGTTTGGATTTAAATTTGTCTTGCTTGGTTTTTGCTCAAGGCCAAATTATATTGAAACATGTAAATTAAAATTATATCTATATTTCTAAGGAAGACATTAACAAATAAATATATGAGAGGATGCGCATGCAGAGTGAGCGAGCTATCATCTAGGTTTTACATCCCTTCTGCTGAAAAGTTCTTGTGTCTTGGAGATCAGTGCTGTGCTATGGCCCTTACATATCCTGGGGTTTTTTGCTACCTTGTTGCTTCCCTGCTAGAGAAACTGCTTGCCAAATCTTTGTCTGATCTGATTAAGTCAGAAAATACAGCACACCGAGCAAGGAACCCTTTCACAGGTCTTCCTTCTGAAAAATATCCATATTAAAAAGGCGAATCCAATTTTACTTTCAAGTTGGGTTTCTCTTGAAATCTCTTTGACTATGATGCTGATTTTACTTTGAAAAAACATTACTGTGGCAAATTCAAATATTCAGCATTCTCAATACATCAGAATTAATGTTGCCAAGTGTAATAATTTCTGTACAACCTATGTAAGCATATTTACACATTTTTATATTTATCATTTGGCAATACCCCTTCCTTTAAACATCCAGCTTGTATGATCTCTTTTATCACTCAGTGGGCAAATACTTAAATATTGTAATTTCTTATAATTTCTTCTCATTTATCTTTTAGTGTATAAAGTACAATATCTAAGTGCTGATATGGATAAAAAAATATCTTTCAGTCTATCTGAATTTCCAAAACCTACAAATTAGTACTCATGTAATTATTTTTTTAAATCACTGACACTGCACAAAATAATTAAGTCCAAAACAAGATCCTGGAACAAGCTTCTAGTCTGTTCAATGGTGAATTCTGAATCTGCAATCTACAGATAATGTATATACAGCAGCTTACATGACTTAAACTAAGAAACACAGTTCACATTGTGACACAACAAAACAGACAACATAAATAAAGCCACTGATTTTCAACCCAATGGTGTCTGAGTGTTTCATAATTATCAGCATCCATGATATGAGAATACACCTCTATTATCATTTTACACATAGGCAGCTGAAGTAAATGGATTTGGGATTATGGGGTAAAAGAAGATAAGAAGTCTCACATTAAGCAAAAATAAAATGTGAAATGTTTTCTATAAGAGTTCTCATTTGGAATATATGAGAACAGAGATTAATTTCTCTTTTATTTTGAAGTAACAATTTGAACTAACATTATTCCATGTTGATCTAAAAAGAATTCTCTCTAGTCTTTCTTGTAGAGTTTTCCTTTTCATAGGCACGTTTAGCAGTTATTGAATCACTCAGAGACAGAAAAACATGAATGTACTCAGGAGCTATTGTCCTTCACTGCAATGAGAATGACCTTGGCACAAACTCCCAGTCACAGACAGGACACAACTAAACATTGTTTTCTCATGTCTTTTGTCGATGCTTCTTTGTGAAGACCTTTAACTGTTCAAAGCAAATTAACATTGGCTACAGTTGTTCTTGGCAAAATTCAGTCTGCCACAGATCAGACAGCAGCATCTCACACTGGATATTCAGAAAAGTTTGGAGGTAGTATCTTCATTATGTCTGAAGGTAAGGACGGGAAAGTGTCTAAGTCTCCAGCTGTCTTCATTGCACAATGATATTTCTTTTCCTAGAGTTTTCATCTTCATCATAAAACTTCCTATAAAACATCCTGTTAAAACTAAACAAAACAAAAAAAAAAAACAACATAAAAAAACCCAAAACCAAACCAAACTAAACCAAAAAAAAACCAGGATGAAAGATTCAACTTACTTCAATGTATGTCCTTGATCACTGCTTTTCCTGTGGTGCTAAGCAAGCATCATGGTAAATGACAGAATTTTGGCATACAAATCAGGCATTTTTAGAATTTGAAATAAAAAAGCTTCTCATCTGAAGTTCCAAGGATCAGGTTTGTTTTTGTTTTTTTTTAATCTATTAAATATGAAGAATGAAAAGAATTAACTTTGAAAGAAAACTGTATTTACCTACAAAACTGTAGGGTTATGAAAATTTTTGGCCCAGCTAAATAAAAAAAAAAGCAAAATAAAATGTTTAAACCACATGCATAGAACCACAGGTTTGAAAACTTTGCAGTAATTTTAAGTCATAAGTCATAACCTATTTTTCTTTTCTTTGCATGCTGCATCTTTTAAATATAGGCTTCATTTCTTAGTCATCTGGCCCTGTCCCATGTTGGAATTGCTCTCTGCTGTTAATTAGAGGTGACCATGATTTGATTAATCTCAAACATGTGTTATATATGCGCACTATGAAAAACTTTATTCTATATTTTCTACTTTAAACATTTTTGAGTGTAATGGAAACAAGCCAAACATTTTTTAAGGACCTAATCTTATCTTAATGAACAATATGGATATGATCAAAATAAGACATTCTAATCCATTTAAAGTGTTAAAAGTTCACAGAAATATGCACTAATCATGTACAGTATTTATCAATGTAATACAAACAAGGTTTCAAATGCATACCACCTGAGCATCATTGCTATCTGAAAATCTGAAGTTCTCTCCATTTAGACAAAGGTTTGTCACAGTTTGACGATGTGCTTTACCTGACCTCACATTGTTGGTATGTTACTCATGTAGCCATTTTTTGATGACATCAGCCATATTTTATTTTTTTTTACCTAAGGAGATAGCAGTCAAGGATGGCTATAAGATTTCCTTATGATTTTACATAGCTCTTGGTCTTGAAAGGTCTTTAATGACTAGAGTAAAAACATAAGATTATTTCTTAGGACAGGATTATGTGTATTTTTAAATTACATTTTGGGGTTAGTAATTATACCGTTATAAGAGAAAAATTCACTATATAAGGAAGGCTAAGCATATGATTGAATATTTTCTTGGTTTATAAGCATCTATAAAGACTACTACTAAACAGGAAGTTTTGAATACTTTATGTCATACTAATATATGTTCCTAAGCATTTTTGTGCAAATAAAAGTTCTGTGAGTATTAACAAAAGTTCACTAAAAGATTTCCTCCAGCTATACAAATGAGATTATTTTTTAAAAGCTAAGTATAACAATTTTAATTTTTAAAAATTACAATTAGTTAATTTGCTGGTTTTAATTTTTTTTTTTTTTATGTAGAACTCCATTGTTGTTAATATCCAGCCTCCAGTAGTAACTGAAATATAATTCCAACTAATTTTTCCTACAGCTGTATACAAATCAATAACTATAAGAATCCCAGAGGAAAAGCATGTTGTATGGCCCTCCAAGTTCCTAATGAATGCAAATAAGCTGACCTTTCTTTGACAACTATGAATATGGTTTTTCACAATTTTACCACTGAAATTGCTGTAATCAGCAATTCATACAGCAAAAATTGAGCCAGTAGTAGTTGTAAATAATCATGCATTACAAGAGTGCGCATGGTACAGTTACCACAGCGAAAAACCTTCATGATTTTGGGAATCAGTTACTCTAAAGTATTTTGTCAAAAAAGATCCTCCAAGAGAGCACAAATGCTCATTTTACTTTTTTTTCTTTTTAAATATATTTTCTATATCCTTGAAACACTCCAGTTTTAGTGTTCCTTTTTTATTGTTTAAAATACAGTCACACCTGGAATTATTAATTTCTAACAACAACACCATTTTTATAGGTAGAATAATGAGCCTGAAAGTAAAGGAAGATAGCAGTCAAAAATAAAGAAAAAAGAAGGATTCTTCATTTTTAAAGGGTAATATATCCATGAAAATGCAGTGTTTCTCATACAATGATATAATGAAACAGTGAATGAAAACAACATATTTGAAACAATGAGCTATTGTAGTACTTCCACCTCTAGTATTTCTTTCTCACAAATTCTTTGAATAGTGCTGAAAAAATTAATGTATAAATAAAATATATTTTTAACACCTATTTTAAACTGAAAATCCTATACAGCTTTAGGAAAAACTGAAATTTGAAGCACTTGCATTACAGCATTGTAGTTTCCACAGAATAATTAAAATGCATGCAAAAATAATATTTCAAATAGATCTTAAGAAATAGAACTTACATTAAACATGTTAATCACAGGTGCATGTTGATTTTCGAAAAAGAAAACAAAAAAGAGAAAAAATACAATATTCTGGTTCATCATTCCCATTCAGCAAAAACTTGACATACATATGGCTGGAAAGCAGCAGCCTCACCTGGACACCATACTAATTCAGAATATTTAAATTCCCATTGTTTTGAAGACAGAGGTTACTGAATTCTTAGAGCCAATTTCATTAAAATCATTAGTCTTTTTTTGTGGCTTTCAATAAGCAAAATTCTGATTTATTAAACTTTGAGTGTTCAAAGAGCATAACAGGATATCAACTAATACTATGTTCCTATAGTATGTGTTATATTTTAAATGAATGGTCCTTTCTTGATGACATTTCCTCAGGATCTCTATTCTCATACTTGTAATTCTTTCATGTTCAGAATGAATCCCTGCTACCTCTCACTCAATATTGATCTTCAAGGCATTTCTTCCAATCCTCTCCCCAGTGTGGTCACTGAACAGTATAAAAGTTCAATAGGAAGATCAGCTGCTCATCCACTTTTTGCTAAAGCAATTTGTATTATGGATTTATTTTAGCAGTCTACAGTGGCAGTTGCTGTTTTTACTATTTAAATGCTTTGATTATCTGACCTTGCTTACTTTATCTTTTTAAGTGCTGTGCATGGGCTTTAAAGTTGATCAATAAGTGGGGATTCCTCCACCACATTATGTTGAAATCAATCCTGATTCAGACTATTTGTATTTCACTCTTATGAGTCCATCTATCTTTCTTAATTTTATATTCTGTTTTCTTAAATAATTTTGTCTGCCACTGCAAATACTTACTGTCAGGAAGGTTTCCATTGCAATCAATTCAGCTTTTCTCAGTCATAACTATAGTGTCTGGGAAGACACAAATGTTATATGATCATACCCTATACTTGAACACATAATAATTTTTTGGGTTTGGTTTTTTGTTTTTTTTTTTTAAATTTGCGCCATACATAATGTGAAAGTCAATAAACACATAATTTTGTTTACTTAATGTCTTACTTTTCCCAGTAATAGTTAGAAATTAAAAATCAAACTATATGGCGTAAGCTTATTAAAATATTTCAGATTTACAATTTCTCTTAGAGAAAAAGATAAAGTAATGGAGTCAAGCAGCCTTCAGCTATGTCACAATAAACCTTAGATTTCTCTGATTAAAACTGGGAACTATAATTAGTCCTGAATGTTTGCAGTGTAAAAAAATGCTCTAAGAAACATTTTGTTATATTTTGCATCTAATTTATTTAATAAACATTTAAAATGTTTCAAGTGTTTTACTTCTTAAAAGTTTTAAAATTTACCTTGCCTAATTCATAATGAAAAGTTTACCATGACTGTAAGAAGCCTTAGCATGGATATGTCAAAATAGAAAAGGAGCAAGAAACTAAATAGAAAATCAAGAAATTCAGTTAACATGCTATGCATGGAATCCTAAGCATTTAGGGGATTATCTACCTAGAACATATAAAACTTACTGAAATACTACTTTGATCTTATTTAATATCACCACAAAGGTTCAAAAGAGGGAATACCCTTTCCCAGTTCTTTAAATAAATCACACACACAAACACTAATTTGGATTTCTATTAAATTAATCTAAATTAAAACACAGTCAGATGTTTCAGAGATTTCCTGTAATCCTTACATGATAATTCACTACTTTTATAATAAAACATCAGAACGACAAAACAAAATCATAAGTGAACCTTAAAAAAGTTTTTGTCTTCAATCTTTTAAGCCTGTGAACACCTTTTCACATGTTTATAGGGTAATTGGTTTTACAAAACTGTGAACTGTGATTTGCATTCACATATGTTTGAAAGTCTGGAACCTAAAATGCCATTAAAATCTATTAATCAGTTTGCTAAATAATACATTAATTTTCCATGAATAGGAAGAAACTTACACACTTCAAATTTTCTAGTTCTTCACCTGATTGAGACGATTTCTGCTTATTCCAGGACCAGTGGCCACTGAGGTCTTGAGAAAGTCGCTACTTGCCTTCTTTCTTTGATGCTGTTATTTTTACCTTTCAGTCCTCCACACTTTTCCTGATTCTTTTAAACAAAATAGGAATTATTCAGTCATAAGTTTGACAATGGTAAATATAGTGAACCTTTTGTCATGGATGGGAGAGCTTCTGCCTCAGTTGTAGCTCCATATGGTGCACACCATCATGTCTCTGATGAGAGAGGAAGGACAAAAGGAAACATGACCACGAATATCTTAAGCATTGTTATAATTAGAGGATTTTAATAGCAACACAGCAAAGTAGTGGGATGACAGAAGTTTAAATCATATTAGGACTAGTGATGATGGGGTGGTGAATATTTAGCCCACAAGGCACTATTAAACTTATGTTAAAAATATGGTTCACATGAAAGTAAGGCATTAAATAACTAATAATAAACAGCCACTAAATGAATAAAATGGATGAGGATTTTCACTGGTAATTTTCTAAGTGCATGAAAGAGAAATGGCTTAGGAAGCTAATGTACAAAGTAATCCGTACTAAAGAAACCAGCAAATATGCAACAGTTCTTTTCACAATGGCACAATGCCATTTTTGTTCTTTTCTGGAAATTAATAGTACCAGAAATAAAAAGTTTTTTGAGATTTGTTTGAATAAGACTTCAGTACATCTACAGATGTTTTTAAAAATTTTTAGTAACTGTACTGAAATCCAGTCCTCTCAGTAATCTTATAGGCAATTTTAGTTAATGAAGGATGACACTCCTGAAAACAAATCAGATTTTTCTGATAATTCATTTGAGATTTTCAAGTGAACATTTTGTCTTCCCTTTGTAAAATTTCACTAACTAATAAAAGCAAAGATTTCATTATGGGCCTGCTCTGGTTTTCCTTTTAAGCAGTTCTGGAATTTGTGGGTGTAAAGAGGAGGGTTGCTTCTGCCAGAAACTTATTCATTTAAAAAACAAGAATGAAAATGCAAAGGAGAAATAGAATTACTAGAAGATGTTACAAATAACATCTAATGAGGGGTTAGAGAGGATGTGCAACTTGTTCAATACTTACTACCATCACTTGTGAAGATTTTTCATTTTATTGTGACAGCAGAGGGGAAATTTAAAAGAATTCACTACACCAAATATTATGCATTTCTGCAGAGCACAGCTAGATAAAGACAAGCCTGTACTGTTTCTCTCAGGTGGGTAAATGTTAAGAGAGAAGAATCCAAGTTTCATGATGCAGCAGCACAAAGCTGGGAAGTGAAAATTATGTTGCAGCAGAGTCCTGAAAATATGACTGTAAAAGTTAATCAATAAAATGTCTATTCCTGTCTATTCACTAGAGGCCCCAGCTGCATAGCTTCACACAATCGATACTACAAATTATTACGATTTCCAGGTTCCCACTGGACATTCCGAACAAATCTTTCAGGTGTAACAGGCTTATACTGGGGGAGGCAAGTGGGGTGGAGGGCTGGGGAGTGGGTCTGGGGTTGTGTTACCTCAGGTTTATTTCATCCAGGATAAGCATACCACAAACAAAGCCTGTGGCTTCTAAAATCTTTCAGTTGCTTCCCTATGAAATAAGTGTATTTGGGGCACCCTGTGAAATTAGCAGAAAATATTTTCGCTCTGTTTTAAAAAGAAATATTTTTATTCTGGTTAATTAATGAATATAAGGGTGGCTTATTGTTTTTAAATCCTAGTCAACCATTTCCTTTTTTCATCACTTCCATGAAAAATAACTTATAACAAAGACTTCTCAATAAGGAAAAAAAAGCATACAGAAATGAACCTTTCCCCTCAAAGGTCTCACAAAAGCTATAGCAGAATCTCAGGACTCGGTGTAGCTTAAAGTGACCAATTTATGCTGTGGTGTATTTTCCTTTGTATTTTCCTGTGTTCTTGCCTTGATACCAGCTGCATTTGTCAGATTCACTAAGGAGGAAGGTAAGAAAAGTCCAGGACTCTATGACTTTGAATAAGTCAGCACCAAAGGGATGTTACTTTATGATACATGTAGTACCCTTCCTAGTGACTAAATATAACTCTTATGACATTCCCTGTCCCAAAATACCCAGGGAACAGTGATCCACTGTTCTTTCTGTTTCCCAAGGAACAGAACAGAGCAGATACTGGCTTGCACAGCATTATTATTTTCAGGTATACGGTATGTTGTTTTAAAGGGAAATTTCAATATTTAGACTCTGTTGTTCATTTCTTAGATTTATCAGTTCCACTTTACTAAACCTATTGTTTTGAATTTGCAATTTTAATTTTTCAGATTCAACAAATAATTTGGTTACTGTAATCCTGCAGCAATGCATCAGAGTACTTTTAAAAAGCAATGGTATCAAAAATTAAAGTGAAAATTTTACATAAGATTAAATAAAAAATAATTTTGATAATCTGTAGGGCTAAGAAAAGGCTTTCTTTTCTCGAAGTTTATTATGTTAATGTGCTGAAGTAAGAAACTTCCAAAGTCATTGAACAAGTGTAGAAAACAGAACAGACAAAGAACAGACATTTGTTAATAATTTTTACGTGCAAAGAGATTCATTCAAGTTTTATTTGTTCATAAAAAGTATAAAAAATCTGAAAAGTCCTTCTGAAAACTCTGTTAATGATAGCACTTGGCTTTCTATTTCAACCTTAGAGTAACTTATTTCAGTGAACTTTTGCAAAATTCCGGCTCTCTCAAAAGCTATACTTCATGGCACAATCAATCAGCTGCAGCTGGGAGTTTCAATTCCACTTTCCCCCTCCTTCCCCCCATCCCACACTAAGTTACCACAATCAGTAGTCCTAGAAGTTTGTATCCTTTTTATTCACAAAGAACTATCTACAAGATTTGGAATAACATTGCATTTTGTATACTGATGAATAACTTCAAATGGCTAAGAAAACCCACAATGGCAAAAGATTCAAGCTGTGTTAGGAAAGTAAATCAGTGACAGTGTTTTCCCTAGAGAAGTACTAGTAATGTCTTTAGAGATATAACTACAGGTTGAAAACCACCAAGCTATTTTATTTAAAGAAATGAAGACACATTACTGAAGACAGTGTTTCTTCCATGAAGCTTTTCCCAGTCTCCAGCATAAATATTAACTTAAAACATTTGAGCTGAAGAACGGATGAAGTTCCAGTCTAAAAGTAATTTACACTAAGCGTATATAATATTTTTCTTTTGATACGGGATTTTATTGCATCTGAATTTAGCAAGTCTTCCTCAGAGAACATTTGCTGAGATAATATTTTATGCTTGCTGCAAATCTGATGTAAAATATTTAGCTCTAAATGTTCGATCCACCCCCAAATGAACAGATTTTCTTTCTGCAGCCAAACTATCTTCTATAAAGTGTTCATCATGCTCTATGATATTATGAAACAGCTTGAAATTCAGTCTGTATATAGAGGGATTGCTCAATGCAACATAACTTTAATAAGAAGAGAATAACTGCATGAAAAAAGCATCAACTGAGTAATTTTTAGCATAGTCTGAATCTCAAGCACTCTAAAAAATGAATCACTTTTTGGTTCAATATAAAATATAGCTTATATTAGCTAAATGATAAAATTTAATTTTTGAACATTGTTTTTTTTTATAAAATCCTAAAAGTTAGCTTTTAATCTAATAGATACTAAATTTGACTGGTTAGAACAAAAGTATTTTTTCAGTAAAAACTCTCTTAAAGTATACAGTTTGTATTTTTTCCTTTATGTTAACAACTTCATATATGCCTTGCTATTGTGACTAAAAGTTCAAATACTAAATTTTCTTTAATTTGGTAGCCTCTTGCTTAGAGGCAGCTTCTCCAACAAAAAAAAAAAAAAAAAAAAAAGAAAGACAATAAGACCCATATGTAACCTTTGGTCTCTAAAAAGAGGAAGATGAGAATACCATTAACAGATAGGTAACAAACAATTACATACACTATTCTATTTCCACACTACAGAATATTAATTTTAAAAATAAACCTAAAAATAGACTCCTGTTAATAGTGCTTTTCAACACCCATTTTTTTTAAAGTGCAGGATATATTTTAAAACATACATTAATCAATCATTTAGATTTAATAGTTTATTCAATAGAGTTACAGAACACATTTACACTACATCGTACCTGAGAGAAACTATTAATACAGTACATATTAAAAGGATTTACTGCTGACTTGAATGTCTTTTTTTTCTCAAATACTGAAAAATAAGTTACTCACTTGTAATCACTAATTTCTTCTGCAGAAGTTAGAATAAATTTTCTCAGGGTCTTCAGCTCTCCGTCTGTGATTTTCTACTGTTCTGTTCTTGGTGAACGGTTTCTGCTATTTGCTCACTTAGCTGCTTTCAAGCTGGATTCCATTAGAAGAAGTTTTTCATCTTGACTGGCAAGTTCTTTGCCTGTAAGTTAAAAAAAAAAAAAAAAAACAGAAAGCTTTGCATTTTAGGCTCAAGCAGAGCGATATTTTTGTTTTAAATGCAGTGCAGTGCAACGCTCGGTAAGAGCTGGGCAAATACTGTTTTCAGGAGAAGAGCATCATTCCATTCCCAAATCTTGAGAGGAAAATATATTATAAATCTATTAAATACTGGCTTAAATCTCTTTCATTGTATTACAGTAAAATTAAATAAAGAAACTTGGATTCAATATTCTGCAAACATTTAAGCTGCTATCAGAGCTTACTGTATACAGGCACATCCAATATTTAGTTCCTTCTGAAGCAAACATCTATTGCCTTTGTATTTTGCAGCATAAATCAATCTAGAATTCAAAATCACTGTTCTGAAAATAAAGCAGCTTTTATAACATTTAACAATAGTAATATCTACAATTTAAACTTGAAGTCTTCAATTTAATTATATTTTTTCATGAATTACAGAGCACATGCATAGTAAAAATCCGTTCTTTTCCAAGGTCATCCAATAGATGGCAATCTTTCCTTAGACCAAAAGAATCCATAGCCGTGCACTGCCAGCTCAGAAAAATAAGTGATTTAAGACAAAGACATTTTTCCTTTGTTCTTTGTTGACCATTTTCCTAAAAGATATATGTATATAGCCTTTAATTTAAATATTTAGCCCTTCGTATGTGCACACATGAGTTTGTGTTAGTGTGCAGGTGTATGTATTCCTGCACAGACACAAATCCACACTCACATATTTGTTTTTATACTCTTTCATAAATATATGGCTTATATAGTCACATATAATGAACAGGTCTAGTATATTATGGAATAAAATGAAGCATTAAAACAAGTGCTTCACAACAAGCATTTTATAGCACGTAATTCCTTTATTATGCAGTATTCAAATTATTTTGAAATTTGACACCAGAAAAATATAAGAAATTAGGAATCTTTTAGTGATAGTAGTTCAATAAGTATAATAAAAGAGGCATTTATGTGATCATAGATTAAAACCTCTGTTTTTAATGTGCCATAATATAATATTAAAGAGTGAAGATATTGATTTCAATGAAGTCAGAAATCAGTATTTTCCAGGTTTAGATTGAAAGAATCCCTTAAAGAAAAACATTTGTGATCTGTTTACATAATTC